GGACACAATCATTGGTGATATTTCTAGAGGTGTACAAACAAGAACAAGATTGGCATCATTTTGTGAGCACTTCTCATTTGTGTCATCCATTAAACCAAAGAAGATAGATGAAGCATTGAAGGATGTTGATTGGGTGAATGCTATGCATGAAGAATTGAATAACTTCACAAGAAATCAAGTTTGGGAATTAGTAGAGAGACCAAAGGGACACAATGTGATTGGAACCAAATGGGTCTTTAGAAACAAGCAAGATCAAGATGGGATAGTAGTAAGGAACAAATCAAGATTGGTAGCACAAGGCTATACACAAGTTGAAGGTCTTGACTTTGGAGAAACATATGCCCCGGTTGCTAGATTTGAAGCAATTAGAATCTTGCTAGCCTATGCTTGTGCCCACAACATCAAGCTCTATCAAATGGATGTTAAGAGTGCATTTCTCAATGGCTACATCAATGAAGAAGTATATGTTGAGCAACCTTCCGGTTTTGAAGATGATAAGAAGCCCGACCATGTGTACAAGTTGAAGAAGGCATTGTATGGCTTGAAGCAAGCACCTAGAGCATGGTATGAGAGATTGAGGGACTTCCTACTCTCTAAAGGGTTCATGATGGGTAAGGTTGACATCACTCTTTTCATCAAAAAGATTGGAAAAGATCTATTTGTATTGCAAATCTATGTTGATGACATCATATTTTGATCAACCAATCAAGACTTTTGTGATGAGTTTGGAAAGATGATGGCTAAAGAGTTTGAGATGTCCATGATTGGAGAGTTAAGTTACTTCCTTGGTCTTCAAATCAAGCAATTGAAGAATGGTACATTTGTGAGTCAAGGCAAGTATATCAAGGACATGATCAAGAAGTTTGGCATGAATGATAGTAAGGCCATTAGCACACCAATGGGGACTAATGGCAACTTGGATAGTGATGCAAGTGAAAATATGGTGGATCAAAAATTGTATCGGTCTATGATTGGAAGCCTACTCTATGTGACCGCATCAAGGCCGGATGTCATGTTTAGTGTATGCATGTGTGCAAGATTTCAAGCCTCACCAAGAGAAAGTCATTTGAAGGCTACAAAAAAATATTGAGGTACTTGAAGCATACACCAAATGTTGGTTTGTGGTATCCCAAAGGAGCAAAGTTTGAGCTAACTGGTTACTCCGACTTAGATTATGCGGGATGCAAGGTTGAAAGGAAGAGCACCTCGGGCACATGTCAATTGTTGGGAAGATCACTTGTTTCATGGTCATCAAAGAGGTAAAATAGTGTTGCATTATCAACCGCCAAAGCCGAATACATATCCGCCAGTAGTTGTTGTGCACAAATACTTTGGATGGAGGCCACTTTGAGTGACTTTGGAATCAAGTTCAAGAAAGTGTCATTACTATGTGACAATGAGAGTGCAATCAAGTTGACCAACAATCCAGTTCAACATGCAAGAACAAAGCACATTGATGTCCGCCACCATTTCATAAGAGATCACCAACAAAAAGGGGACATTTGCATTGAGAGTGTAGGCATCGAAGATCAACTTGCCGACATATTCACCAAGCCATTAGATGAGAAAAGGTTTTGCAAGCTAAGGAATGAGTTGAACATATTGGATTTTTCAAATATGTGTTTATGCACCCTCATTTATATGACATGCCTCTCCTTCGAGCAATCCAAGGTAAAAGTTGATTGGCATGGCATACATCCTTGCTAAGGACATGTTTAGTGCATCTAGACATCTTTTATATTTAATAGGCTCATTCATGAAAATCAAATGAATTTGATGATTGTATGGTACCACTATTGCTTCTATGCTTATTTTGATCTAGTGGTAGCATATGACATGTTTGTGGGCTTGCAAACCTAGTGGTTGATCTAGTAAATGAGCTCTAAGTGTTTAACTCAACAAGGTACAAGATAACCCTTATTTGGAGGTGTGAAGAAGCTTGTCCTTGGATCAAACCGAGTTAAATATCTTTGGCAAATATTCTAGTTTGAACCAAATTTGGGAAAATGATCCTCACCCCATTGATTGACATTGATAATCTCAACCTATCTACTTTTTGAACCTTTGTGGTCATTGATGAAAAAGGGGGAGAAAAATAAAGATATTAGTGATATTAGTACATGGGGAGAAAAACAAAGATATTAGTGTACTAAGATCATGAAAAGACAACAAAGGGGGAGAACTTGACATAGGGGGAGAGATATGACAAAGGAAATGGATCAATTTAAATTTTGAGCACACAAGTAGGGGGAGCAAGCTCATGAACTTGTATGGTGCATTTGAATGTGCATTTCATATGTTTGCTTGCACTACAACACAACCCACCTTTCCCTACAATTATGTGTTGGTAAATCTAGGGTTTTGGCAACACATAATGTGTTGGCAATTCTTTACATTTTTAGCGTCACTTAAACTATCGGCAATAGTAATATAAAGCTACAACTTATATGTCGGCGTTTCTCCTTCCAACACATAAAGTGTTGGTGAAAGTTTTTAGACAAAAAAATGTCGTTGTATCCTACCTAAATCACTGTCCAAGTGTCGGCGAAGGGGTAAGCCCCGAAGACAAAAACAGGCTGCTCACCCTTCGTTCCTTACTCCTTTTCCACTCACGCAGACTTCAGAAAAAAAACCTCGCTCTTGCGAGGGCGCAGCCACCGGGTGTCGCCAGCGAGCACAACTCCGACGCCAGGTGCCGCCACCACTACTTCACCGCTGGGCGCCGCTAGCAGGGCTCCGCTACCGGGCACCGCCAGGAGCCGGTGCCGGAGGCTAGCACCCGGCGTGGCCGCCGCCGCTGATGCCCGCCCAAATCACCGCCTCCCAATCCCGCCCGCGCTGAAGTTGTCCCTGGCCGAAGCCCCGCAGCCTACAGCCCTAGCCCCCACCGGCGAATCCAACGGGCGCCGCCGCCCCAACCCCCAGTTGCCCGACCCACGACACGCGCAAGCCTGCCACCCCCCCAAGCCCACCGTCGCCTAGCCCTCACGGCCAGCCCCAGAGCGGTGCGGTGTCGTTGCATCCCCATTCCTCTCTGCATCCAAAGCGTCATCTCGGATCCCCTTCCTCTCATCCCCATTCCCTTGAGTGCTAGGGTTTCACCACGACTTAATTTCTTGTATTTTTTCTTGGTTGCGAGAAAGGAGTAGACAAAGGTGAGAAAGGCTAGAAAGATTCAAGGTTTGGGTTACTTCTCTGCCAAACTTTCATTCGGTCTAGATCCGCCTCTCTTCCCTCTTTGGAGAAGGCTCGATTTAGAAGTGATGTTTCTTGCCTTAGTTGATTTTGCGGAGGAACCAAAGCAGGATTCAAGATATTTTCGCTCGATTGCCTAATTCAAGAATAGGCGCCAAAAGTCATGATTGAGCTATCTTTGTGGTGCTTGATGAGTCTTCCCAGTTTCATTCGGTGAGTGGTGGATCACGGGCTTTAGTTTTAATTAGCACCAATTATTGGATATTCTGTCACTTCAGTAATGTTTCTGGTAGAAACTATGTGGTAGCTGATGTCAAAGTAAGTGTGATACATGTCTGTATTTTGAAAGCTACCTCTGTGGCCAAAAATAGAATCTCATGAGCACGCAGGGGTTTTTAAGCTGTGACAAGGATAACTCTAGTTATCTTGTTTTTGCATTTCATAGAACATACACATTTTTATGCTGTTGTATCCTGGTGAATAGTTGCAGGCATATAATTTTGTCAAATTACAATTACAGTGTATCCCTGTTCATTATATAACTAGCGTTTTTATTAAATTGTTTCTATTGGTGTGGTAACTAAAAGTACATCTTTTGAAATATGGCTGTTTTCATCTTAAAATTAGGAAAGTTTCAGTTGTGTGTCAATCACCATATTTTTTGCCGTGCCATAGGACTTTCATATGCATGTTACCAATAATATATTTCAGTTGAATCATTTGTGTTTGCACATCAGATATATGTTGATCTTTCTTATATTGGCACAAAAGATTAACTTGAATTATTTCTAGGTTGGACCATTAGTGTTCTTATCGTGTCGTTAGGTCTGGGATGATGTTTTCTGTTATTTAACTATCATTAGTGTTCTTATCGTTATGACTTGTGCATCACAGGATTCAGGACTCTGTTTATCTTTCCTTTGACAAATACTGTGGTGACCAAAGTGCAAAGTTGCTTACATGAGGGCTAATTTTTCTTCCTCTCTCGAATTCATGCCACCCCCCCCCCCCACACACACACAAAAAGTTACATGAAGCGGGTGTTAGTTGAATGCTTCAGCGTTAATTGTATGAATTATTGGACGTTATATGCTTCTCAGCTTTAATTGGATCAATTATTGGATGTACTATTGCTTTTTGCCAGATTTCGTTTCTTGTAGCTAATATCAAACTCGTATTCTATGTCAGTCTGAAAGTGCTCCACACCATGGTCAGACTAGAATTGTATTGCCAGGTGTAGGGCTTAATGGTTTTACAAGGATAACACCAGTAATCATATGTTTGCATTTTATTGAAGTCCCTACTGATAGGAAAGTAGTTTGTTATGCTAGTGATATGGTGAGCAGATGTGGGCGTATGATTAACTTAAATTGTAACCCTAGTCATCATATAATTAATGTTTTATCAAATTGTTTCACCTGGAGTTTTGACTTAAAATTAGAATAGAGAATAGCTGTGTTCCATTTCAATTTACCTATGCTTTCCTGCTGATCATTTGGATATGCAGATGTGTGTTAGCAGTATATTTCACCACAACGATTTGTCTTTGCACAGCAACTACCTGTTCAACTATTTTGCTGGTGGCAGAGATAAATGTGAAATAGTCAATTAATTTAATGGCGAGCATCTTGTTCTCTTATTATATCATTATAACTGGGGGTGATGTTCAGTTATTACTCAGTTCTCATTGGCATTTTCAGTGAAGATTTTTTTGTTAATCAGCCTGCATTGTTTTAGACTCTCTGCATGCTGAGCTTCAAGCATACTGCAGTTTTCTCATTTAGGCATTCCATGTGATTTGAGACATGCCCTATCAGCCTATGATGATTATGGATAGGTATCCATGCATGGCATAGGCCTTTGATGACTTTAGTATTTTCTGTCGTAGGATTCATGACTCTGTTTACCTATTATAATAATACTTACCCTGTTGCAAGACTTCAAAGTTGCCAACACGAATGCTAAATTGTCTTGTTTCTTTGTCCAGAATCGATTTACATGTGTGTGATACATAGAAGTTCACCTCCTCTAACAATTTACCAGTCAATCATGATTCATGGGAGCTATAGCAACCCTAAGATGGATGGGAGGGACCTGTCCTTCCTGGGTAGCTGACTGCCTGCTGGGCTGGGCATAAATTTTGGCGGCGAGCATTGCATATGCCCACTTGTTTTTCCCTGTACCCAAGTGTTTTAGGCCTTAATGTCAATAGCTCTTGTAGTTTTCATTCTTACTGTTAGTCTTTTTTTCCCTTTGAGTGGGCCCAGTATTAGTTAAATGTTATTGAAATACTTTTATTCTTTGCTTTCCTCCTGAAATACAGAAAAAAAAAACATTAGAACCTTGTGCAATTGTTTTTCACAATCAAAGCAATTTTCATCTTAGTTTTCATTTCAAGTGGAATGTCTAAGTACACTAAGAAATTACTCATGGAGCTCCCGCAAGACATCTAGTCCCCCTAGGACTTCTTCAGGTTCGGTTCTGTTTCCTGGCAGGCTACCACCTGCTAGCATAGTGCCCTCTGTTTTCGCAATGTGTTTTCCTTTCTCAGCTTTCACTACTACGGAGTACATATTCTACTAGTATGTTTAGCTTGATGCCAATCTTTGGGTGGTACATTATAGCATTATTACTAGGTCCTGGACTTTTCAGATAATGTCAGTTCAAAATTTCAGTTTGTTTTTGGTTTTGTGATTTTGTAGTGGAGCAGTCAAGAAGTACCCCACGAACAGGATGCTCGGCCAACGGCAAGTTACAGATGGCAAGGTAAAATAAAACCTAATCTTTACAGATTTATTTTCACAAAGATATCACCATGGCTTTCGGATATTCAACTTAATTGTCTTTCTTATATATAGGCCGGTGAGTATGTGTGGCAAACGTACGAGGAAGTGTACCAGAAGGTCATGAGGATTGGATCAGCCATCAGAAGCTTGGGCGTAGAGCCGGTGAGCGAAGAATGTCTTGTTTGATGTCGCTGTCTATGTTGAGATTTCATCTTCATCCTGAAAAAGTGAAAATGCATGCCAGTATTTTGAGAACTAATTTGTCAAGTCATATATGCAGGGAGCTCACTGTGGCATATATGGATCCAACTGCCCGGAATGGGTTATGGCCATGCAGGTGACCTCATTGTATTTTATTCAATTTTTATCAGAATTCTTCTTTAGTGTAATCTGATCCAAACTTTTTTTCTTCAGGCATGCAACAGTCAAGGAATATGTTATGTGCCACTGAATGACACCCTCGGTAGGTTCTCCACTTCATCACACTGACTGAAACACATAAATGCCTGAATGTCTGAGTGCACTGAATACTCAGATTTGTGCACATGGTTAACATGTGTTTATGAACAATCTTATCTTAGACTAGAAAAAATATTGGAAAAAATTACAATTAATGAGTAACCTACCGAGGCCTACATGTGTTTATGAACAATTCGTAAAAGCTACATGTGCTTGGGATCCAAGTTACAACAGAACTGGGCCTGAACTTGCTAAAATCAATGCTGTTTATTTGAAATTAGTTTTGGAGATCAATGCTACACATAACATTCTGTTTGCATCTGACAACTCGTTGAATTGTATTTTTCAGATAGTAGCAGTAGTCCCTAAGTGCACAGCCCATCTTAGAGGTTTGCCAACAGCAAACTTGCCAATATGAGGAAAGGGCTGAAGCAGCATGAAGCATCACCATTTTTCGACAAGATAGTTTTTGAGCAAAGTGTGTACAGTGTTGGATCTCTTTATATTTTTTCTTTTTTACAAAGCCCTGAACATTTATATATATATCAAGTTGGTGTATGTATGGAAGATCTAATATATTATTTATACAAAAATCAAGTGAATTTGTTCAATGTGATGCCTTCTATATGAGCAAAAGTGGATTTATCAAATTATTTTAATTGTAACTATATTTATGTAGTTTTGCCGACAGTTTTTTTTTGTAGGGTATGGTTTGTAAAATACCTTGGAAATGATTTGGCCAACATATAAATTGTCGGCAAAGGTCTTAACTGTCGGCATAGGTCTTTAGCTCGCCGGCAAAAGGTTAGCAATAAAGCAAAGGTTTTTCAATCGGCGTAGGTAGACCGTTTGCCTACACATAAAGTGTCGGCGATTCTGTTAACTGTCGGCAAAAGTTTCGCCCACGGCTTATAGCGCGACTGTTTCTAAACTGTCGGCAAAACTTTTCACGGGAGGTTATTTGTCGGCAAAGGTGCCCTTTGCCTACAATAGAAAGTGTCGGCAAAAGTATGTTGTGTTATAGTGTTGCATGGCACAAGTTTTAAATTTCAATATCTATGCTTGTGTGGTGCATGCTAGTTGTAGGTATGAATGATGAAATGAAAATCTAGCATGCATGAGTTTATCTAGTAATTTCATTTCCAAGTGTTTCCAAGAGGTATAGAGCTAACCATGATGCTAAGGATGGTATATTGGTGCACTCCGATTGGTATCACGCTTCAAAGGTCTATCTTTTATACCTTAGCATCATTTGGTAGACATTGTCTCCTATATTTCCTATCTAAGCATATGTGTAAGCTTCAATCCAAACTCTTAGCACATATGTAGGGGGAGCAATTGCTACCATATGGAGTTCATGAAACTTGTCCATATCCTTTTACAAATGGTAAAAATGCTTGGACAAGCAACATGGATTCAATTGAATTTCAATTCATATCTTTGTGAAAAGGTTGTCATCAATTACCAAAAAGGGGGAGATTGAAAGCTCTAGTTTGGTTTTGGTGAATTGATGAAACCCTAAGTGCTAACCTAGTTTATCAAAGTGATTATGAGATAGGTGGCACTACTCCAAGTGATGAAGAAATTGTGAAGATCATGACATGATGATGGCGATGCTATGGTGATGATCAAGTGCTTGAACATGAAAAGAAGAAAGAGAAAAACAAAAAGCTCAAGGCAAAGGTATAAATTGTAGGAGCTATTTTGTTTTGGTGATCAAGACACTTAGACAGTGTGATCACATTTAGGTTTGATAGCCATACTATTAAGAGGGGTGAAACTCGTATCGAAATGCGGTTATCAAAGTACCACTAGATACTCTAACTCATTGCATATGCATTTAGGATCTAGTGGAGTGCTAACACCCTTAAAAATGTTTATGAAAATATGCTAACACATGTGCACAAGGTGATACACTTGGTGGTTGGCACATTTGAGCAAGGGTGAAGATAGAGGTGAAAAAGAGTTGGTCTCGCTGGTCACAAAGTGACTGGACGCTAGTCTCAAAGGGACCAGCACGTTCGGTCAGTTGTAACAGCGAAGATGCTGGAGTCGGTCAAACGACCGGACGCTGGGTCGCTCAGCGACCGGATGCTGGAAGGCTGTGTCCGGTCATGCTGACGTGGCAGCACAGAGGAAGACACCATGTAACCGGACACTGGCCGTGTCCAGTCAAGCATGACCGGACGCGTCCGGTAGGGAAAAATCGTTTCTAGAAGCTTACTAGAAACGACCGGACGCTGGGGGTTCAATGTCCGATCACTGTTAGCTGCTGTGTCCGGTCGCCTTCTGACCATTGAGATCGGGTGCACAGCATTTGAAGAGAGGGACACGTGGCATGCATTGCGTGACCGGACGCTGAGGTCCAGCATCTGGTCAATATGACCGGAGCGTCCGGTCACCCCACGTTGTGCCCAGTGAAGGGGTACAACGGCTCTATTTCGTGGGGGCTTCTATTTAAGCCCCATGGCCAGCACAAGCTCATTCTCTTGGCCATTTGCATTGACATAGCAACCTTGTGAGCTTAGCCAAAGCCCTCCCACTCATCTCCATTATTGATTCATCGTCTTTGTGAGATTGGGAGAGAATCCAAGTGCATTGCTTGAGTGCATCTAGAGGCACTTGGTGTTCGTGTTTCACTACAGGATTCTTTTGTTACTCTTGGTGGTTGTCGCCACCTAGACTGCTTAGAGAAGTGAGGATCATCGAGTGGAGGTTGGTGATTGTCTCTGGCTCCGATCGTGGTGATTGTGAGGGGTTCTTGACCTTTCCCCGGCAGAGATCCAAAAGGTACTCTAGTGGATTGCTTGTGGCTTGTGTGATCCTCATCTTGTGTTGGTTGTGCGGCACCCTATTGAGGGTTTGGCGTGTGATGCCAATTAGCGCGTGAACCTCCAAGTGAGTGAATCGCCACAACGAGGAGTAGCTTGCCGGCAAGCAAGTGAACCTAGGTAAAAAATCATTGTGTTCATCATTTGATTCTGAGGTGATTGGGCTTCATTGATATTGACTCTTGTGATTGATTGGTTCACTCCTCGACACGGCAGTATAACTATCTTGCTCACTCTCTTTACATTACCGCAAACTAGTTGTCAAGCTCTTTAGTGTAGCTAGTTGTGAGAGCTTGTTAGTTTGGTTCGTGTGACTCTTTGGTTAGCCTTTGAGAGAACACTAACTTAGTGTAGTGACATAACTATTGTGTGGATAGAATCTATATCAACTAGAATTGTGGTAGGTGGCTTGCATTTTTGGTAGGCAAGCGCAACACTTGCTTCGCCTCATAATTGTCTAACCGGTTTGTTAAAGTGTTGTTGTAGAAATTTTTATTAGGCTATTCACCCCCCCCCCCTCTAGCCATTAGGACCTTTCAGTGGTATACTACTCATGCTCCCCGCCCTTCCTATTTAGAGTTTGGTGCTCTGGAGTGCCGTATCGACAAGTTCCCGTGCCCGCCGGCCATGGTGCCACCGTGAAGCCGTCGTCCCGACGGGGATTTCCGCCTTGCTTTGTGTCGTATTGAGTTCGCGTGACCGTGCGCCACATTTTGGTGCCCTCATTTTGGAGTTACGTGGCCGGTATCGCCGTTGCTGCGTCTACCACTGAGCTTGACTCATCGCCGGCCATGGCATTGGCCACAAGAGTAGTCTTCCCTAGCAACCCTCTATGCCTTCGCGCCAGCGCTGTCGGATTTTAGATGGACGGCTGAGATCGCGTACCCCTTCGGGTTATGTAACCGGTCCACCGCGAGAGCCATGGACTCGGACCACACCATCACCCGCACCAGTCCACGTACACGTGGTGCACCACACCAATCCCGCGTAGCCACGTGGCCGCCCAGTCAGCCTGCGACGCGGTCAACTGCGAACCACCATGCACTTTTACGCTTTAGCCCTTCGGTTTTCTCAAAATCAACCCATGGTACATATCAGTTCAAACGTATTACTTCTTAGTCCTGTTTTCTTCTGTTTTAGCCCCTGTACTTTTGGAAAATAGTGAGCGACGTCCAACCAGCATTAGAATTTAGTTTTTAATTGTTTTAATTCAGAAATGAGTTCGGTTTATTTACAAAAATACCATTAAATCTTGTTTTAAGCATAACTTTTGTGTTTTAAGTCCGATTAGAGTGATTCTTTCGCTTTTGTGTTCGTAGCAATACGTAGATTAGTTTTATAAGCTTTTCAGTCTATGTTTCTACTGTTTGGTGTACTATTCTAATAGAAGTCTATTTGTATGCATGTAATGACTGGAATGGGTGCTTGATTGGTGAATTGGAACACGTTTAGAGGGGGATCAGTTCAAGGTTTTTGAGGAGCAGTCGGTGACCAGCAATACCAAGAGGAGAACTTTGAGGAAGGAAAGTGTAGCAAAGGCCCCTTGTACCTATGAACTCTACAATTCATATACATGCATGTGTCTAAATTTGGATTACCTTTAAGGACTTTACCTAGATTACTATTTGTACCACATATCCTTGATACCTATGGTTTGGGATGCATTTTGGATAGACGCTGCAGCGCTCAACATGAAATAATTGTTAAACATGACTAAAGGTATTATGCAATGTGTTAAAATGGAATTTTTTAGCAACAATTAGGGGCTAGAGTACGGGGTTGTGTGCTCTAGTGCCTCTCCATAAGGACTTAATCCTGAAGCGGCCACCCAAGAGGTTTCGTACAACCCCAAGTGTCATATGGCTCTAACTTTAACCTGTTAACTAGATTGTACTAGCTCATCTGTAGCTTTCCGTAAGGGCAAGAGGGGGGCACTAGTTGGTATGTTTCTTTTCCTGCTAGGGTGTGTACCGTGCCTCGACCACGCGCGCCACTCCTAGAGGAGGGCCACATATGGCTACACGGCTGAAACCTTAGCAACTACGACTTGTTAGTGCAACTCATGAACGGTTACATAGTGAGACCCTACCACACTTCCTTGGTAGAGGTGATGTGGGCTCTACAAACCCCGGCAATGGGAATCATGGCTCGGTGGGTAAAGTTGTACAATTTCTGTAGAAATATTTAACCTGTTATAACAGTCGTGCTCACGGATACGAGCGATCTGGATCCTTCATGATTAGTGGTTACTATGGATGGTTGGGAATTGACATAATCTTGATTATTCATTATTATCACTTGGGTTGGGTTTATTCACTATAGTAGTGATTTAGGATGCTAAAACTTGACCAACTAAAATTGCTAACCGTAGTCAAACCGTGTCTAGCCTTTGAGCCTCAAAGATCCATTTGATATACTTGCTAAGCATGGTGAGCTTACACTTGTTTCACATTCAATGAAAATCCCGGATGGGTAACATATAATACATATGAAGAGTTCCCAGAGGATGTCTAGGACTACTAGATTGATGTTCACCAG